TAGGTAGAACAAATATCTAACTGCAAAAGTTCCATCAAACAGAAAAAAGCAACCTCTACACAAGTGAAAGTAACAAAAGGGACTAGCAATACAGGGTCTAATAAGGATATCCCATTAATGTCAGAAAACAAAATCCCATAATATATAAATAACTTCATGCTAAACAATTTCACTAGGTAAAATTTATCAAGGAACCTAAAGTTCGTGAGCAGATTTATAAAGATGGATTAGATTCTATGAGATTTGTCTTGGACCAGGTCTCATATTGTTTAGAGAACTCCTAACTTAATGACTGAACAAAACAATGCAAGTTTTTATACGACACCTTCTCCCTCTTTTCTGTGCTGTAGATAAGTTAACCATGCAACAAATAAAATAAGGTTCCATTATTCCAAGCAGCACCAGAGACCTATCTATCATTGATAACTCACTCAAGGAAGCCACCCCCTGTTTTCTTCTCTTCTTGACAAATAAACCAAGCAAATCAAAATAAAAGAAATAAAGGTTCTATCAACTCATGCAGCCACTAGCAGCTATGTACCAGTGATTACTCATTAAGAGATATTTCCTATATAGCAAAATTAGAAAACTGCCAGGACTGTAGATTGATTTGTATGGCCATTCAATAGTCTTGTTGATCTCTTTTAGAATAAGTGAAGGCCAAGGAAAATCCTACCTTCAAAAGTTGCAGAACAAACTCAACAGCTTCTCTTGGACTTTTCTTATCTGCAGCTCTTACCATAGCTATGGCCCGTGGAATGGCCTAAAGAACCAAAGAAAATGAAGAAGGTTTTAGAAACTCTCACAAACTACATTTTAGTTATACATTTAGCAGCTCAGCCATGAGCATCGACGCATTCACGATAGGCATCTCTAAGGAATGGAAAAAGCTAAAACTGTAGACAGAATACAGAACATTGTTCACTTCTAAGCTAGAGTGAGCCTAAAAAGTTCCACATGGGAAAAGGAATTACCTAATGTTACTTCCTTGTACATTATCACCCCTTTTCAGATTGCTAGGTTAAAAATTTCTTGCATAGTGTTTAATTCAACTTACGCAAACCAACAATTTCACAGCCACAGAGGCATCAGAGCTAGCTATAATATTGTACAGAAATGACATCATAAGGTACATAGTTTACCACATAGCCTACCTCATTGCATTACCTCAAGAACAAAGTACTCTGGAAAATCACGGAAGTCATTTGGTCTGGCAAGATCAGCAGGAAATTTAACTTCTTATACAAGACATTTTAACAATCACTAACAAATTGAGAATGTAGGTTAAGCAACTCACTTGGGGAGTCCAATGTCTGCATCAAACCTTTGACTTTTATAAAATCTCACCAGATGTTGCAAACCAGCCAAATCAGTTTCCTGCCAGACAATGAAATAAAACTCCATGTCTGAAGCACTTGGAATGTATAAAACCAAAAAGAAGACGATGACAAAGGCTGATTATATATGCAAACTATTAAATAAAAGTTGAAGTACAATTACTTTAAGTTCAAAAATACAAAACAATTTAAAAAATAATAGTACTAATCTGTGTTCCAAAGTATAATAAATCTCACTGTTGAAAACAACCAAAAGACCAATTTTAAGCTCCCTGTCATATAGCTCATTATATGAAAGAGATACCGTAAACATAGATTTTAAAAGAAAACATCAATCCATGCCACATTTACAGCATCACACAAATCAACACTAAAAACGAAAGTTAAGAATACTTCTAGCAAAACTCAGTAAGAAGTGGCTTTCTTGCAAAAGAAGGGCTAAAAATATTGGACAAGTTTTCCAACAAAAGCTACTAATTTTGGTTAACATCACATAAAGAAATAAAATTTATGATACCTCAGAAGATGTATTAGCCAATGCAAATGCCGCCTCAATTCGAACTCTCCAAAAGGCCTTGACACCACAAGAAAAATTAAACAAATGAATTCCACTAAGTATGACTCATAAGTAAGTCTTTAGCGAAGAGAAAGAACCTTGGAATCAGTGAGGAAGTTATTCAGAGCATTGACAACAGAAGGTGAGAACTCTGGTAAAGATTCCAATGCTGCAATTGCTTGTGCCTGAGCAACAACATCTTCATCCTTCTCTAACTGATTAATCTGATAATTTTATCAATTTAAGAAGTCATATACCAAGTGACAAATTAAAAATCATTCGAAGTGACTTAAAAACAGTAAGAGCTGCAGTTAAATCACAGCTAAAAAAGTAAAACAATGAAATTCTTGAACAAAATAGGTTCCTTATTTGGTTTTGTTAAAAACCATTAGTTTTTATGAAACATTTCCTTTAATCCAATTTTATTTATCAGAGACCAATACTTTGGGCTTCAGTAGGTTGAAAAAAGATTACATGTATAAATTAAAATGATACTGAAGGATTATGTTGTTACATTATAGTCCATCTTGGGCTTTGATAGAGCATATTATAGGTTAGACTTATGCTTGTTATGCTGATTAACCTTGAATTTACAACCTAAGAAGAACAGAGTTGAAAATCATTGCATAATCTATTAGGCTGATTCACCACATGAAAGTGTAAGACTGTATGCTCTCCATAATATCTGTAAACTCAAGGTAAGTTTGTTGACAGTTAGTTTTCTTGCTTTCTATGACAACAAGCAAAGAGAAGCAGGCAAAAAGTAACACTTCTTTTTCATTTAAGAGAAATTAGAGTTTTAAAAACTGTTTATATGCTTTCACAGTTCTGAGTTTAAGTTAAATGCAATCTTCCAGTTTATTAAATATGTAATAGTGCTCACAAGTTGTGATGTTAACGCCGAAAGAACACTAAGCAAATATTAGATGTTGAATATGACATGTTTATTATTTTCAGGCATTCTAGCAAAACTACAGTCAAGCCTACAAACTGTTTATATGTGATAAACTTAAAGATAAAACCGGGGTATATTTCCTTACAAACCTCATTTACAACTCAAACCTTCAAAATGTCTTAAAATTCTATAAAAGATTTATAAACTTCACTGACAATTTGGGAATTAATAGTTGAGAAAAGGTTAAAACTTAAACAGTTATTACCGCAAAAACAGTATCTAAATAACAGGTATCAGTGAAAGTTCATTACCAAACAGCATTCTAAGTAAATTTGTACATTAAATTGCATGTTTTCGGACAAATGTGAATCATTCTCCAAAAAAAAAAAAAGAAAATTCAAACAGGAATGGTTACTTCCCAACAAATTTAGCTAAAAACTATCAAGTAGATT